TGGGGGGCTATGGATGGGAGGGTGAGGGATACCTGGCAGGAACAATTAAAACGAGGGCTTTGACAAGGACACGAGTGCGAAAGGAGCTCGTGGCAGATGGCCGTCCAAACAATCAGACAACCGATCATATCAGGTGTGTTAGTTTCCTTTTTTCTTGTTGGCTTCGCCAAGGGCTATGAAGGGACGCGTGGATAATTTTCCCTTTTCAAATTTCATTTTAGTGGTCTCGTGCCGAACAGCGACAGATCTTATTGAACTGATATGCTCAACGAAAAAACAAACGCGCGCAAAATCCACAGCGGATGCCCTCAGAGGAAAACGAACAATGGAATGCTGCATAAGCGGCGCCCGCGTTCCGCCCGCAGTCCAACTGCAGACAGAACCACAAGTGATCAGCCCACCGGGAAGTTCACGAGCATTGCGGCGGGGACGGTCATACATCGAGCGAGGGCAGCGGAATTATAGCCGTCTGATGGAGCTCAGCCAAGGGCTACAAACGCACAACCGCAAACTGGAGGCAAAGAAACAAGAGCAGTGCGAAAGAAGGTCACTGCGAAACCAGACAGATGTCTCCAGGAAGGCGAATGCCTGCCAACGCGCCGCTTGCATTTGTTAATCATACTGGCCCGCGGTAAACCCCGGCGGCAACGCCCAGGCGCCAACAATAACACCTCGACGCCCGGTGAAGTCATCGACGCGTTGCTCAAATCCTCGCGAGCCAATCCATGAACAACCGCAAGGCGAGTCGCCCTGATCAAGGCCGGGTAGTCGGGCAAGCGGCGAAAAAAGCGAGCCGCATCCGCGATGATGAGGTGCAGGAAGCGGAGCAAAGGAGAGGAGGGCGGAAAATGAAAATCATAATGAACACGGTGAAGAGAGGAAGTATGGTGATAGGAAAGACTGGAAACGTGCAAGAGCATGAGCAGGTAGGAACACGGAAGAGGAGCTTGGGGGAGGTAGGAAGAACCACAAGAAGCCTGAGGGAGGCAAAAGGCGCACCAGTGATCCGTGCGGAACGCGCGTGCGCCGTGCGCCCTCGCCAGCGAGGAAGTAGGAAGGGGTGGGGGGATCAAGGAGCAGGAGGAAGTAGGAGGAAATAGGAGGGCAAAAACATGCAGAATAAAGCATATGCAGACTCGAATCCCAAGCAAGTTGCGCCACGCATGAAAGCGAAGTGAAGCAACATGCATCCCGCGCAAAAAAAACGAGGGCAACCGTTACATTAAGGAAAAGAAAAAGGGCGCAGGGGTAATTAATCGGAAGATGCACAGGAACGGGGAGGGAGCAGAAAAAGGAGGAGGTCACAGAAGAGGGACGAGGAGGAGGAGGAGGACAAGGAAGGGAAAGATACAGGATAGAGAGGAAAAAAACACGCTGACGACGACGAGCATCAATCATCGAGGATCTCGAGTCGTTCGCTTTAGGTGCCTGCGGGGCGCCCCATCAACGTCGTCATATCGGTGCCGCCGCGGCGCTCTCTTAGGGCAATTATGGCTGCCTTTGGCGGCTGTCTTGGAGCCCCTTGGGGCCCTCTTCGGGTCGTTTCGGAGATCTCCTGGGCCCCTCTTGGAAGCCTTGGGGTCCTCCTGGGGCCATCTTGAAGCCGCCGGTCAAAGAAGTGGGGCCCTAGCAACGCCCCATTCCTTCTCGAGCCCCCCAGTCGCCAAATGCGGCCCTCTTGCGACGCCCTCGAAGCTTTTTGGGCCGCTCTTTGGTGCTCTTGGAGCCGACTTGGGCCCTGATGGCCCCCTCTCAAAGCAAGTTCAAACCAACTCGCAGCCATCTCGAGGCCTCTAGAAACTACGGAAAGCAAAACAGCGAGAAGGGGAAAAAATGAAGCGCACAGTGATTGTAAAGGAGTTGAACCTGTTGGAGGCCTCCTTCAAGAGCTCGAAAAACAATTGCGGGCTGTCACGAAGCGGTCTTGAGGGGGCTTGGAGGCGCATTGGAAGCAAAATTGTACCATCTGCAAATATATGGAGCGATCTCGGAATCCTTCTTGGGTTGCCTGCGGTTCCTTTGGAGCCATCTTCGGCCATTTCGGGCGCCCCACCGCCCCGCGGCCACTCTCTGCCCACGCCCGGGGACGAGAGGGCAGGGGGGGGCCCCCGTCCCTGCCGGGGAGAAACGCGCGGATAAGCTAGCCCGTTAAACCACCACCCACGCCCTGCATGGCTGGTGGGATTTTTCCACGGCCGCCCGGGAATACTATCCCGGATTCTCGAGTGAATTCTGCCCGGATTTTTCCAAATCCAAATGTGAATTTGCCCCGGAAGCCGCGTGAATTTTCCCGGGCGCCCTCCGGATTTTTCCGCGCGTGTTTTTTCGATGCGCGCGCCCAGGGAAAAATCCACCAAGAATTCGGAGAGGTATTCAAAGCGAGTTTTTGTTTTTCTCCCCGAAGTTTTCACTAGGCCGCGCGCGGAGCCTGGGAGGAGGTAGGGGGGGGAGAAGTCACAGGGAGTGGGGGGGCACGCCGCAGGAGAGGGCCGGAGGGAGACAGGAATCCCAGCACCCCTCTAAGCGTGAGCGGCGTGACGAAGAAATTCATCCAAGCCCACTCTTCCCCTTCATGGACACGGTTCCCCATTTCCCCGCCCAATCCTTCGTGCGCGGGAAGGTAGCCGCGGGTCGCTGGAGCGCCCAATACGGCCCAAAATGTATCCGAGATGGCTGCAAGGAGCCCAGATGCGCCTCCAATATCGCTCGATGCATCCCAGGACGATTCCGAGTAGCCTCCAACGTGCCTCTGAGAGTCGTCAAGACCGCTTCAAGACGGCCCCGCGTGCCCTTCGAACTCTCCAAGGAGGCCTCCAAGACAAAAAAAGTGAAAACCATTGCGTGCGATGTGTTATGTCTCGTCGCCTTTTCGTTTTCCATGGGCCCTCGAGGCCTCAAGATGGCCACGCTGGCCTGAGATGGCCCTCCAGAAGAACCCGACGGGCCCCAAGACGGCGCCGAGAGCGCTCAAGAGCAGCCGAAGAACGTCCCAAGAGAGCGCCAAGAGGCGACGCGGGCGGCTCCAGAGAGGGGGCGCTGCAAGGACCCCCCCCCCCCCCTTCCCCCGTACTCTTTGACTGGCGGCGTTTCCAAGATGGCCCCGAGAGGGCCCCCAAGGCCTCCAAGACGGGCCCGCGAGACCCCGAAGAGGATCCCAAGGAGGCCCGAAACAGCCTCAAGAGGACCCCGTAGGCTCTCCCAAAGTGGCTCCAAATTAGCTCCACAATGGCCCACAAATCACCCCAAGGGGCTTCTAACAAGAGCCGCGTGCGAAAAACAAACAAAATCCTCCACGATTGATTCTGGCCGTCGTCGTGACTTTTTCTCTCCCACCCTTCCTTTTCCTACTCCTCGTCCTCATCCCGCCCCTCCTCCGTTTCCTCGTCATCCTCCTCCTCGTCCTCCTTCCCCGCTGCTGTTAATCCTCCGATTCCTCCTGCGCCGTCCTCGCGTTTCTAACGGAAACCGCGTCGCCCTCTTGGTTGAGCACCATGCTGGCACACGTTTCTGATCAACACAAGTTGCCTGGGCACCGTCTCTGGAACTGCTTCGTCATGAGTGTTCTTACCCCCATGTCCTCCTACCTCCCCCATGCTCCTCCCACCTCCCCATCTGGCACATTCCTACATCCTCGTTTACGAAAGGATGCGGCGCACTGGTGTTCTGCGCGGATCACCAATGCGGTTGCTACCTCCCCCTGGCTCCTCGTAACCCGCCCCCCCCCCCTCAGGTCCCTCATCATCCTTCCGACCTTCTCATGCTCTAGCACGTTGCTGTTTCCTCCAGCACGCGTCCATCCTTTTGCTGTTCCTCCTCTTTCGTTACTACTGGTCCTTCGCCACCATATTTGTTCCTTCGCTTCCTCCACCTCCTCTTCCTCCTCCCGCACAGAACCAGTGAAAACACATTCGGTTCGCTGCGGCGCCGCATGCTGCTACACATGCTGATCGAGGCAACTCGCCTGGTGATTGCTTTTGCCTTGGCTGGCGGAAATACGCGAGGCGTCGGAAATGAGGGCAAAAAGGCGGATGAACAGTATAATCCCGCGGACCACGGCCGAAACGCGTCAGAACATGTGCGAGGAGACAGGTCTGCAAGTTGTTTTGGACCCCTACAAAGCCTGTCTTGGGACCCTAGGGCCTGCTTGCAATCCTTCTCGGGACCTGCTGGACTCTCCTCGAGCTCACTTGCAGTCTTCCCGGCGCCCTGTTGGATCCTGTCGCAGGCCCTGAGAAAAGAAGATGACAGCGGGAGGGAAATGAAGAGAAAAACAATGCAGGCAAGAGGAATAAGATAAATGAATACGATGTGAAGAATCAAGGGCACGGAAGACATTCGAAATTCGCTGGCCACGCGGCATCCACACGAACGCCCGAGCCACATGATCGATTGACGTGCGCATATCAGAAAAAAGGAAAATAAACATGAAAAACGAAGACGCAAATCCACGCTGGATTCACTCTTAGCACCGGCGAAACAAATTTCTTGCAATTGAAGCGAAGCCTCAGCGCCATGCCCCTTCTCGCGGCCATCATCCCATGGCCAACTTCATGGCAAGAGGTATCGAACGACCCCTAAACTCCAGAGCTCCTCTACTGAAGCAGTTTGCACCTACCGTAACGCAAGCCTTAATGTATATGCTATGCTTGTTTGATTTGCTCGTTGTTGCATTTTCATGCGTTAGTGTCTCTTCATAATCATGCATGCTGTTGTTTACCTCCCCACATTCCTGCCAGCGGGGCCCTATTGCTGGAGCTTCTGAAGCTTCTTGATGGCGGCCTTAGGGGCAGCCGTCCCCGCTGAGGGTTTGGGCGGGATGGCGGCGGGAATCGGAGGGTCGGCACTGCCCTTCGAATGGTTCGGAGTGGCCGCATGGCCCTCGCTGCCCGCACTCGACGACCCCACGGAAAACTCTGCACCATGCATCAGCCTCCGCCTCAAGTCAGGCGGAAGACTAGAGAGAGGCAACTTCAAGACAGTGCGAAGAAATGCTGAGACTCCGTCACGCTGGGCCACTGCTTTTTTGTCGCTCTTCCCCTCAGTCTTCACGGCAACTTGAGCCGCGACGCACTGACCGAGCTTCGGCACGAGCGTGTCATACCTGGCCTTCAAGTCCTGGGCCGTATCCGAACACTGCTTGAGGAGCACCATGCCATCTACGGAATCGACTTTCGCAGTCGAGGACGTCCTCTCTACCATCTGGGCCCAGACTGGCACCTGCTGCACGAACCCCTGGACCTTCTTGGTCAGGCCATCGTCCATGTGATCCACCAACCACTGGTGCTGGGAAAAGTCCCACTTGCTGATGCTGTCGATGACGGGGTCGAACTTCTTGGTATATTCCTCAAGAGCCTGCTCTGCGTTCTTGAACTTGGTTGCCTGCGACTGAAATTGCTGGAACCACTCGGCCGTCGTCTCCTCGACCGCCTTGTCGAACCAGCTGGAGCCTTCGAATATGAGCGGGCACGATTTCTTCGCCGACGCAACGTCGGCGAGATGGCGCGCGATCTCCAATGCGTTGCCGACGGGGGCGTCGTGCTTCGCAGACGAGGTGAACAACTTGAACTGGTCAAAACAAGGCCGGCCTTCGTCGCGTCCAGGGCCGCACTTGGAAGCCCGCCCGTCTCGATGAAAGCCGCCACCTCTCCCTTGGCAAAACCCTTCGTGACGATCGCAACCACGATATCGACCACTGAGTTGGTGATGAAGTCGGGCCACTTGTTCGCCAACATCTCGAAGAAGCCGATCATCTCCGAATCGGCCTCGTCATTGCACAACGCCTTGCTCGCGGCGAGAAGCTGGGACTGGTTCAAAGTCGCTGACCACGCCTTCAACCACTCCACCAACGCAGTCTCGTTCGCGAATACATCCTTATGAGCATCAACATCAGCATGTTGCAGCAGCAGATCGCACAAGTCAAAGAGCCTCTTCACCGCGTCGACCTCCTCGCACATCGGCATAAACATCGGCAGGTACCACCGCGTCTGCTTGAGCCAAGTAAGAATGTCGATGGCCTCGGACTCCTTTAGCTCCTGTACGCGGTCGGTCTTGCCGTCGATGGTGTCCATGGTGGACGCCGTGATGAACGTGGCCATGCCGTCGATGATGAGGGCGCCCCTGTGCTCGATGGCCCTCGCGGCGCACTTCTTCAGGAGTGGGCCGAAGCGCTGCGAAGCATTATAGCAATCATGCGTGAACTGCTCCTTCGGCGAACTGTCCATGCACCCGAAAGTCGCACCGAAGTCCTTCACCGTCTGCTCGGGGAGCTCACCGATGTCGCAGACTGCGTTGTACGTGTCCTCCCAATATTCGTCAAATGTCCTGGTGACCGCATCGAGGAACTTCTGAAACGGCTACAAGAAATCTCCAAACCTATCTGGAGGGGACACGACGGCGTCAGAGGCCGCGCTTGCTCCCGCGAGCGTGGTAAGAACATCCCAGGCCGTCTTGCCATGCACGGCATGGGGCCCCACTATGCGTCGGAAATGTGTCTTGCATCTGGGGCTCAGCTTGTCCTTGTAAGTTACGAATGCGCCGTGCTGCTTGCGCTCGGAGAGGCCGAGGAGGGAGGCGAGCTCGGAGTGGCACAGGGCTCGGCTGGCAGCGTAGAGGCAGCTGAGGTCGGCGAACGCTTGGGCGTGCCACCCATGAACGGACCCCCCATGTAGCCCGTTCGCCGTGACGTCAAGCGTCGCGATGTCGACGGGCAAGTAGTCCATGGCCTTCTTCATGGAGTCGCCGATGCCGACGATGGCGCTGGCTTCCTTATTGCCCCACGTCCTGTCCATGAGTGCGTCGACGATCTGGGCCTGCAACGTGCAAATGATATCTGGATGCGATGCCACGAAGCCAACGCCAATCTTCATCTTGGTGCTCGTGGCAAGGACCATGTTGAAGAAGAGGAAGAACTTCTCGTCCATGTCGACGTTCTCCATGGCCTTGTGCATCTCCATTGTCGCGATGGCGCCCAGCAGGGGCACTGGCGCCGCTGAAATAATCCGAACCTCTTCCTCCTTCAGGCTTTGAGAGGCCATGTCGAAGAACTCTGAGCGAATCCTGGTGAACAGGCTGTGGCGCACCTCGATCTCCTCAGCGAAATTGAGCAGGCGGTCGGCGACGGCCTGGCAGTGACAGCCGGTTCGAGCATCGGCGTGCCTGCACCCTGATAGAACTGACCTTTCTCTCAACTTCCCTGGTCCGCATGCGCGCCTCCCATCGGTGCTCCCACGTAAAGGTCTCCTTGGGGCTCTTGAGCATGCCCTGGCCCTTCGCGAACTGAACTTCTGGTCCACATCTCCGCTTCTTCCTGAACTGGTCGGCGCCGTCCTCGTCGTCGCCGGAAAGGTCACCCAATGACTGACGTGGCGATTTCTCCGACCGCGCGACCCCGCGCGGCTCTGGCGGGGCAGAGCGCAATGAGCGCAACCGCGAATGCCTGGGCGCGCAAGTCGGGGGCGAAGGCATCGCACCAGGCGCGCCGTCGCCAGCCTCGTCGAACCCGCGCCGCGAGGCCGCGGAGACGACAGTGGGGCCCGACGCCGAAGACGCCCCGAGGCCGCGCGTCTCGCCATCATCGTCACAGAGTCCTGCGCTCCTGATCTTCATGGTGCCGTTCATCCTGATGTCCATCTTTTCGTTGAGGCGCTCCAAGCGCTCGTTGGCCGCGCCCTTGTCTTCGCGCGTCTCCTCTTTCTTCTGTCGGACAGAACTTTCAGCCGACCTCCTGAAACGTCTCTTGCCGAACGCCCTGGAGTGGTCGTGTATCTCCACGTGCCAACCGCCAGCCATCTCGACCAAGTCCACGTGCGGGTAGTGGTCGACAATGTAGTCCCTGAGCGCCAACTGGTCGGTAATGTCCACTTTGCCTACGAGCCGCATCTCCGCTGCGAAATCGTTGATGGTCTGCCTCGTCCCCTCCTCGATATCCTCCTCGTCGACGGCCGCTTTCTCCTTCGACGTCTTGTTTGCGATGTTCGGGGGGTCTCGCTCGTAAGCCTTGCCCCCTTGAGCTCTCTCCCGCCTGATGTCCGTGAAAGCTTGCCCAACGGTTGGATCTGTCTTCCGCTTCTCATTCAGAACTTCCATGCTGTGCGGCTTGCCAGTTTTCTCGTCCACGAAGTACCGTCGCCTCGTGTCGTAGCACCTGTAGCACTCGTCCCCCACGCACTTTCGGTACTCAATGAGCTTACCTTTCCTCCTCCCCGTGGACTTGGAAGATTCGCCAGCTGACTTCATCGCTTTCACCGTCTTGGTCCAGATCAAGACGAACGGAGCCGAGGAGGGGCTGTCCTTGTCGATGGTGTGCGTGTCCTGGCCGCACGCCGCGCACCTCGCGGCGGTCTGGTCGAGCCACATGCACTCGGGAGTCTCTGGTGCCAGCGGTGCCCCCCCCCTTCGGCTTCGGCCGCCCATGAGCCGCGGCGGCGAAGCTGCCTGGCTTCGCCCCATTGGGAAGCACCCCCATGGCAGCTCCAGCCGAAGAGTCCGCACTGGCACGAGGGCACTGGTACGCCGCGCCGTGCCCTGGCGCACTCTCGCACCAAAATGTGCGACGGAGTACGGGGGGGGGTGTTACGACGGTTCTTTCGGGGACTTGCTAGAGCTATATGGGATAACCCCCAACATGTTTCAATGTGAATAGAACATGTTGCATTACATCATGTTATCAACTCCTTAAGAACACGTTGCCTCAGGTCGAGAAGCTATGGGCTAGGCGTGTTTCATATTACTGACGCGCGCGTGCACCTACACCTGAGTTGGCTCCACTCGGGGGGACCGCTGTCGGCGGGGCGCAGCTGATAAGCACCAGGTGGGACGATCATCGCACCTGCGGCGCCTCGGGGGGAAGTTGTGCAAGGGGAGGGCCCCTTGCACAACATGTTGTGCAACCCCTCATTTTCCTAGTGTTTTGAAGGGTTCCTTGCACAACAAAGTTGCGCAAGCCCCCCCCCCCTGCCAGGCGGGGTTGTGCAAGGGGGGGCACATTGCACAACAAGTTGTGCAAGCCTGCGTTTTGTCGAGGCCCTGGGCTCGGGCCTTGCACATCTAGTTGTGCAAGGGGGCGGGGCGGCGATGTGTTTTTCTGCAGGGGCGGGGGGGCCTCGGTCATCGCCTGTCGTAGGCCCCCTGCAGATACCTTCGCACCTCGTCGGACAGGCCTTCGCCTCCGAGCCACATGCGAAGGCGTTTCAAGTCAGTCTCCCTGGCTTCACCAGGGAGCGCTTCAGCGGAAAAGCACTCGCAATGCAGCCTTCGCTGATCGCGAATGGAAGTCCCGAGCTTCAGACGATAGTTGAAGCGGAACTGATTTTTCTCTATGGCAACATTGCACACGAAGCAGATCGCTCTGCGGCTGGGGGAAAACTCATACTCATTCACTCCCAGAGCGCTCCGATCTATCACCACTAGCTCTGGCTCTGGCTCAACGTCAGAGAGCGGAGGAGGGTCATCGGGCACTGGGGAACCTGGGGGGGACATGGACGCAAGCGAAGGAGGCGGCGTCAAGTGAAGCTGATCAGCTTCGCTACCCTCAGGGCTCAGTGCCAGGGGCAATGGGTCGCCCCGCTCCGACCCGCCCTCAGAGCCACCGCAGTTCGCGCCCTCGGGGGGGTCGCCACCGGCGTCCTCCTCAAGAATTGGCGCCGCGCCGAGGCCGAAGGGAAGCTCGACCACCTGCGCATCGCCCCTCCATCCTTCTCCTTTTTCGCCCGAGGCATCTTCGCCTTCAACTTCGTGCTCAGACTCTCTGCAAGCACGGGCCCGTGAACTTCGCATGCGAAATAATTTGTCACATTGGCCCTGCTGGTTCTAAAGCAAGTCACCTGCGCTTGCTCGATCGCATCAATCGACGCGCCAGTGGCCGTCGACCCGAGTCGCAGCAAGCCCTGGAAAAGCATCTGCGATGTAGATGGGCAGGCCTTGCCGTCCTCACTCAGCTTCAGCGTGAAACACTCGGCGCCTGTGCTGGTCGGGTCGTCGGGCGCGCCGTGCACGAATGTAGCGCTCTCTCCCCTGCCTTGAAATCTACAGAGCCACGCGCGCAATACCGCGTCACTGCCATCGTCGGCAGTCTGGAACTTGCACAGAACAGGCAGCTTCAAGTGAAGCCCTGCTTGAAACAATGCAACGTGCAAGTTGTGAGTCAAGTTCTGCGCAGGACCCAGTGCTTCGTCGCAGTCGCAAAGGCCAAAATGCCGACGACAACGGCGCGATTCAGGCTTCAACGTCCCCGTGTGCTTCGGTCGGGCGTCTGGGTCGTACTCGAAAATGCGCTGCGCCTCCCCGGCCATTTTGGCATCGCCCCCCCCCCCGAGCACTCTATCGACCCTGAGGCCAGTCCCAAAAGCAGCCGCCCCAGTCCCCGCGGACCAGGCCGAATGGCCCCGAAGCTCATTCAACGTCTGGATAGTGGCACGCCTCCTCCCTGTCCGAGCCTTGCATTTGCGAAGTCGATGCCTGGGGCCCTCCTCCTGAGCAAACGCCTTATAGGAGCAACCTGACACATTTCGCAAAGAGTCGTTCTCGTGGTCTGCCCTTCCCTGGCATACTGCGCGGTCACCGTCTGGAAATTCTCTCAACATGTCATCGACCCTCCTGCGTTTCTGCACCATGCTACCCTCGCACGTCACATCGCAGTAATGTTCGCTCACAAAGATATCGTAGGCCCGCACGGGCTTCTTGCTCGCCTGAGCACTCGAACCCACCAACCGACAACTCTTTGATTTTCCAACCGTCGAGGCATTCGAACGACCGTGCACGCGAGCTCGACCCACTTCGAACTGTGAGAGGGCAGCCGACCACCTTCTCGCCAAGCCGGCAGATTTGAAATAGTCGCTGTGAACGTAGTTATACATCGCCGAAGCTGATTGAATCACACCTTTCTGGTAAGTCATCTTGGACACCCCAGTCGCATCCAGGGATCTCCCCCGCTTGTTGCTCCTACTCTCTTGGCCCAGCAGATGTCGACGTTCACTTGTCGCCGACACAAGTTTGCAAGTTGATAGGAAATGCCTCAAGTATACGCGGGCAACTTCTCGAACGCGCCGACGAGGATGCCGAAGCCGCCGTAGCCGAGGCCGAGTGAGACAGAGGCCGACGCAAGCGCTGCACCTGTCTAGTCGCGCAGCAAGTTGGTCAGTGACGATGCCGATGGTGTAGTCGCTGTAGTTCTTAATGTCGCACACCCTGAGCAGCTGGTAGCGGGGGTCGCGCTCGTGCAGGCAGACCAGCCGATGCCAAGCGTCAGAGATGGCAAGAATAATGTTCTCTGCACAAGCATGCCGATCACCGTCGTCTAGTTGAATGTAGTCCCACTCGGTGCCGCGATAATTCAACATCATACTTGCAAACGCATCCAGAACCTGATGTCCCCGCCTGCCGCTGAGGATCTCCATGTTCGCCTCGCTGGCCATGTCAATATCCTGGGACACCTGAGCGGTCGTCGAAGCTGCGCTGGACGGGAGAGCCGCATAATGTTTGACGACCACCTCTGTGAACTCGTCGGTCTGAAATGCTGCGTTCAGGTAGTGCTGCACTGGTCGGTTGAGTAGGATACACTTGTCAAAAGCTTTCGCAGCGTCGCCAGACTCCAAAAACGCAGCGATCTTCCCACCAATGACAGTGTGATTTGCTTTTGACAAGGCGTCGCTGTCAGCAGTCCCAGATTCCCTTGCTTTTCTGAGCTGTTCTGATGCCTCGTGCACATCCTTTTTGCTGAGCACAATTTGGAGGCCCCTTTTCAACATGCCATGGGCGCGGAGAGCTCGCCTGCAAAACGCCGCTGCAACCTCCATGCCTTTCCAGCGATATTCCAACGGAACTGGAAAAGGCCCCCCGCAGACCAAGCGAATCGCTTTCTTGCGCGCTGACAAAGCCTCCTGGTCGTCCCCGTTACATTTGAGTGGACACCCTGGCGAACACTAGTGACGAATATCATCGGAATCTGGGTCGCAAGCCATGGCCGCCAAAATGAAATCGATGTCGGCTTGCGTCAAATCTCGAGCGGCGGACGACAACAGCAATAAGTGCGCCCATCGTCGTCGCCATGCCGCCGCGGCTGCTGGTAGTGTAGGCGCGAATCTGTATTCAAACGACTCCTCGACCTCAGAATTCAAAGCCTCCAAATATGTGGCATGAGAGCGAGCGGATTCGAAGGCATGACCTAGTTTGACCAAAAGGGAAGAGCAGCCCGTGGAAGCGATCAACGGCTTCGTCGCCAACACCACGCTGTGGCACGCACATCTGAAATCAATAGGACTGATCGAATGGACGGGCGAATCCTCGGGAGAATCCTTTATGTTCTGTTCCGGCAAGCACACCAAACACATATTGAGCTGAAGGTTGTCTTTAGCAAGCGCGATCGTGTTCCACGGCAATCTCTGTCTTTATCAACGCAACTGCCTGTATTGCATGTGCTCATGACGGTCCACTTTTTCCATCGGTCATACACAGTCATCGCATTCGCCACTGGAAGAATTTGAGTCGGCGACTCCACGGCAGTACTGGATAACAGCATGCGGCCAGTGTCAATTGTGCCTCCACTGTTTTCGCCTGGAGCAGCTCGCAGCACAAACAAGTTCTCACACATCGAAAGAGTTTGCATGTGTGAGTTGTTTGTTTCCCATATTTTTCAGCTTTGCCTCCAAATGTGTTTCAGCATCTGTGTAAACATGTTTTTGTTTGAGAGACTTACTGTTAACCCACATCGTAGCGTCATCAAACATATTAGTTGACCAACTTCCAATTATCCTGTCTGCGTTGTCCCTTACAAAAGAGGCCAGTCCAGAAGTCTGTGCAGCAACGTGCGAAACAAGGGCTCGATTGGACGCCGCGTCGTAACCATGCCTGCCGTGCCCTCGGCGAGAAGTCCAAACAGCCTCACCATCAACAAGAAACTGGACCGATTTAGATCGCTGGGAAACGAATCCACCCGTACTCAACACTTGCGATGCAGCTTGAGCTCTGTCTGGGGCTAGGGCCGTGGAGAGTTCCTGAACTTGCCTCTCTAATTTATCTGCTCGTTTTTTTGTTCACGTGTCCGTAATGTTTGTCGCTGGGGCCCAGACAACTTGAATCCAACCTTTCGCCCGCGATTCTCCAGAAGAGCGGATTTGTTGTGCATGCTGGTGCCAAAATGGCTGCGGACGGCGATGAAGAAAATGACATCACACCCGAACGGAGTCAATGATGACGAGGACGACCAGGACGACGACAGCGACTGCTATCTTCGACGGCCGGTATAGCTTTACGAGTGGATTCCAAGTGTGGCGACGCGCAGAATGTGGAAGGGGAACATGATTACCAGGATTTGCAGCCGCCAGACGAGTGAACAACAACCGACGAGGCAGAAACGGCCGATTCCTATCGATACCCTCTAGGAGAAAGTGCACATTGACCCCCAAAGAGCCAGACAGCGAGGCTCGGGATTTATTCAGCGAGCGGCCAAGACCAAAACATAAGGACGTTCAACGAAAAACGCAGATGGGTTTCTCACAAATGGCCAGCACGCCCAAAACAGTTTGTGACCAGATTCCCCCAGGGAATCTGGTCACTCAAGGTGTCCTGTCTCCTCCTCTCTCCCACGGCCACCTCTCCCCTTTCGACCCCCTTCCCTCTCTCTCGTCCCCTTTCCCCTCCCTCCCTCTCTCTCCTCCCCTCTCTCCTCCCTCTCTCCTCCCCTCCCCCCGTCCTCTCTCTTCACTCCCGCCCATCTCTCTCGCCTGAAAAAAGACCCTCCCTCCTCCCCTCTCCCATGGCCAGGCTGTCAGGCGATCGTCGAATCCCCCTTTTCCTCTCTTTTCCCACGGCCCTCCTCCCCCTTCTCCTCACCCCTCTTCCTTTTTTAACGCTAACGCATGACATCTTTATTCATGATAAGTGGCACGTGACAAACCGCGAACATCATATTCACCACCGCCCAAGGCACGTCCCCCGCCACCACACTAACCTTTTCTAGTGGGTACCTGGCGCCTCGGGCATACAACTTCTGTTTCGGCTTCTCGAACCAGCAGCGGGCCGCATCTTAACGGTACGGATCCAATACCGATACCTACTCCTCGCCCCCCTCCATCAGATGCATGCGCCCCCTCCCGCGCGAGAGAAGGGCCCGGCGATGCCGCGACGGCCTCAAGCCACTGCTGGGCCGCGAGGTCGCGCCGCGCCAGGCCTGTGCGCCGGGGCGCCCTGCTGCTCCCCGCCCCGGCTACCGCCCGCTGGCCCCTACCCAGGGGCGCGGTGAGAGGCGCGCGCGCGCCAGCCCGCGGGTACCCCGCGACGACTCGGGGCCCAGCAGGCCAAAGGCGCCCCGTGGAGTCAGCACTGCCTGATGCCAGAATTACGCCGCGGGGCCCGACCGCCACGAATGGCGATCCACACCCGCCATAGCGGAGCGTCGCGAGGCAGCTGTTGTCGGCAGAGGGCCACGCGCGACAGGTGCCAGGTCCCTAGGGTGGCCTTACCTGGACCCGCGGCGACGACCGGCAGCAGAAGGGGTTTGCATCGCTTCCGGTTCTTATCGTCTCACGCTGGACATTACGCATACGCTTACTCACCGGACACCTCGAAGACTGATCGTGCACAAATGGTCACCAGCAGTACCAGGATGCACGGGGTAATTTGTCAGCATGTTCCTCTCTCTTCGATCCTCCGCCCATGAATGTGCCAAACGTGGTGCTGTTTCCATGAAAGCCTGCTTTTCCGAATTCTGGATCAGACGCCGCGATACCTGAACGACCTGCAGCGATCACAGCTCCCCCAAGGCCCACAAGCGTGCCCATAACGGAGCCCACAACTGTGACAAATATTTGTTGCGAGGAACACCGATGCGACACCTTGAACTTGAAACGCGTCGCCCTGGCCCCAAGACTTGAAAACCAACGGCCGCGGCGTGCTCTGGCGAACGAAAATAATGATCATACCAACGCTCGGTCGACCCACGAGCCCGGAAAGGAATGTAGACATTTGAAGCATGGACACGTTGTCACGACACCTGACTGGGCGACATGCAATTGCAATGCTGAGTGTATCGGTCGTGATGTACCGTGCCAAAAACTGTGCTGTGCTGTGCCGTGCTGAATAGGCATGTGGCATGCCGCGATGAACGGCATTGTGCTCTATGGCGTTGTGGATCACTATGGCATCGGAATCCCGACCGAACTGACCCTGATATCAGACTCGACCTGTCTAAGCGCATAGTTCGCCCAGAGCTGGGTGCCATCAAAAGGCGCGGGGTGTTAAACCAACTCGAATTCAAGATCCGATTCTGTTCCGAAGCGGGACGAACACAGAAGGGGCGAATCCAGGACCGAGGCGAAACGCACCGACAGTGGCCGGATCGAAACGATGCGAACAGATGCGCGACGAACTGAGACAGGACAAACCCAAGCAATACGAAGCGAGACGAGGGCCGAACCGACCCTAACCGAATCGGGGCAAAACGAGACTGGGACAACCCGAATACATTGCGGTTCACCCTTCTGAAACCGCATGGCGTTTCCTGTCACGGGAGGCGAACTCCAAGGGCCGAGAACCTTTTCATGTATTGCCACGGATGTGCTACCCAAAAGTGGTGACCCTTGGGCAAACTGCGACTGATCCGTGTTTCGCTGACCCGTGCTGCGCCGTGCCGTGCGGGTTGCGCAACCAGCTCGAGCTCAAAATCCGATTCGGTTCCGAAGCGGGGCGAGTCCACAGGGAGCAAATCCGGACCGAGGCGGCAGGCACCGACAACGGACGGACTGGGCCGCTGAGCCAGGACGATCCCCCCTCTGGGTGGCCTGGACATGTTGAAACGCGTGCCATATGTGACTCGCAAGGTAGCAGGGATGTCCACCGCGTTCGCCTGCTGCATGATTCTAGCAGGCAACTGGCGACGGCTCTCACCACGACGGGAAAGTCTTACGACGAAGAGAGCCAGCGCCTCCGCAAGCAGAAGCAGGGGGGCTCGATTTCAAAGCCGATTCCAAAGCACGGGGTCCATCACATATCCAGATCGCAGCAGCAGCAGCTTGGTATGGAGCAGATCGCACTATCGACCAGGGGAGCAGCAGCAAATGAAGGATGACGAATACTAACACAAATTAGTAGCTCCATGGACCAACCATGTCAAAGGGAACCTACATCACGACGATGGCTCGCGCCAACCACTACTTCCATCTCAAGCTCGAGAAAAGCTAGGAGGAAAGCCAGGCCCAGAAGGCCACGCTTCTGTTTTTTAGTTTCGCTTGGGAGATTCCGCTCGGGAAGGAGATGGGGGAGGCTATGGAGATACTCATGAGCTTGGAAGGTGCGAATTAGCTTCCAGGACCCGCCCCGAGGGTGTCATTAGTAGAGCGCAAGATCTGCAAATTAATCAACAACGCCGCATGACACAGGCTCTTGGACCATCGGATCGGCTAGTAGCGAGTTGATTGAGAGAGGACTGATCGCGCCTGATGCCCAAGGCACATTATGTTCTCGGGTGCCGTCGTATGCGCCTGAATCGCTACCAGATACACCTGGCATGTCTTGTCCCAGCAGCAGCCTTCAGAGGGAGGGGGACGGGGCCGTGGTCGTGGAAGTGGTCGGGGGGCACGGGCGGGTGAGGAGAAGGAAGGCTCGAGGCACCTCGTGCCTTTCGGGCCCGCCTTGTCGAGCTCGCTGCGTGCGGGCCGGAGTGCGGGCCACGGGCCTGCGCTGCCTGGTGCAGAGCGCGGTGGGGGACTGCGCTGCTCCGGCGGCGGGTTTCGGATGGGAACCTCGTCAGAATCCGACCTCTGACTCAGAGCCAGTTCGCAGCTTGGCAGTTCGAAGCGTCCCACGCTGACTTCTAGGCACAGGATTCCATGAGCTCATTCATTCAGTCAGTCGATCAACCAGTCATTCATTCAATCATTCATTCATTCATCCCTTCTCCTCCTCCTCAATTCGTCGTCGTCCTCCTCTTCCCTCTCCTCCATTCCCTCCTCCTCCTCCTCCTCATCCTCCTACTTCCTCTCCTCTTTGTTCATCCTCCTCGTCCTCGTCCTCCTCCTCCTCCTCCTCCTCCTCCTCCTACCTGTCCTCCTTTTCATCTTCCTCCTCGCCGCGCCGCCGTCAGCGCTGCTGCCACTGCTCCTTCTGGTCAAAGAGGCACTGCCCTCGCCCGTGCGGGTGCGCGCCTGAGGCGATGCGCCTCTCGACAAAAGCCAGGGCCAGCTTGTGTGCCTCTCGCCGGTGGGATCGGGCGAAGGTGGCCGAGGTCACGACGACTCATTCGGCGGCAAGCGAGGGGGGGAAGTGACAAGGAGAAGGCTTTCTCAGAAGGTTCGGAATTCCCCTGGCCTTCTAAGAAGTTCTGTAAGTCTTCCCCGAAGACGAAATAAAATTCTCAGACGGCGCGAGGGTTTCTGAGAAATCCCGCCGCCTTCTGAGCAGGCCTTCTCCTTCTCATTCCCCCCCCCTCGCTCGCCGCCGACGTATGATCAAGTCTGGAGTTGAATAATCTTGCGCTGGCCCCTGAAAACAGCTTGGCTCCAGAATTGAGCTGTCATTCCGGCAGCCCTTGTTCCTGCCAAGGGGCTCCTCAGCAAGACTGCACCACTGGCGGCGGCGACGGTGCTGCTTTCACCGCCGATACAACACACAACTGCGAGCACTACTGCTTCTGCTGCCAATGCTCTCGCTGCAGCTACCGCTGCTGATATATACTGCGGCTGCCTTTGTTGGAGATTGTGTTACAAGCTCTGACATCGCCCACGCACTTGCAAACGTGGTAAGCCCTGATGCATTAGATTCGCCACCATGAGTTGTACACGTTGAGGCGTGAAAAAATGCCAAGGTCTGTCTGGTCGGGCTTCTGTGATTTTCCCTCGGCACGCGCTTCCTTGCATGCACCGCCTCCTCTCCCCGAGGCTCCCGGGATTGCCTCACACCTCCCTGGCGCTCTCCAAGGCGTCCAAGATGCTCAAGATGGCTTCCGAGACGGCCACAGCAGGCCACTAAGGCCGCCAACATGGCCGCAGAGCGCTTCAAGAAGGCCCAAGATTGAAGACGGCCCACGAGGCCGTCTAGGCGTCCCAAGAGAGCCCGAAAAGCCTTCTTCAGAGGGCCTCGAGAGGAACAACTCAAAGCTTGTCCTTAGGGTTTTCAATGTTTTCGGGTTGTCGCATTTTGGAGCTTCTGACGTCCTAAGACGACCCAAGAGGATACCATGACTGCCCCAAGACGGCCCAACAGGCCCCCAGGAGGGCCCCAAGACAGCCCAAGAGGGCTCGAAGACGGCCCACGAGGCGCCCAAGAATGCCCAAGGGGCCCCAAGACGGCCCTGCCACCCCAAGAGGGCTCAGGAGGCTCAAGGGGTCCACAAGAGGCCCCAAAGAGGCCTCCAAGAGACGCTCCAAGACGGCGCCAAGAGGCCCCCACGACACCCCCAAAACGGCTCGAGAGGCCCCCAACAGAGCTCCAAGACGGCTCCAAGACGGCCCTACCAAAGAGGACCCAATAAGGGCCGAGCGCGAAGCCAGAATTCGAGGCGTCTGCCCCAAGAGGCCCCCAGCAGTTCCCTTGCCCTCTCGAGTAATTACCACCCAAAGTGCTGCGCTGGCACGGTGGCGAAATTGGCGGAAGCAAGTGTATAAGACGTGCTCTCCCAGACCAGTCGGAAGCGCGGGCCGGTCGCTTCGCCTGAGACTTCCTCTTAGAAGCTGGCGACAGTTTCACAAATGACAGGCAGACCGCTTCAAACATGTGGCTCTCGCCTTAGCGCCAAGCACAATCGTCTTAAACAATTGCAAGAGCTTCACGGATTAAGGGTGGTTCGTTTTCAACATGTGGCTCTCGCCTTAGCGCTGCGCGCGCTCTTGCAAAACATTACAATCTGGTCGCTAATTGAGGGCGGCTCGTTTTCGAAGTGTGGCTCTCGCCTTAGCGCTTAGCGCCGCGCACACTCCTGCTCAACATGTGCAAGAGCTTCACATAGTAAGGGCAACTCCTTTTCAAAATGTGGCTCTCGCCTTACCGCCACACACATCCGCTTCAAACAGTTGCAATAATGCTGCAGATTATCATGGTTAACATTCCAGAAATACTGTTTGGGAACGGCTCAGGATTGTCAGGGCGCAACGCGGTGTTGAAATCCCAGGAGTGGCTTTCAGGCAGGATTGTCAAGACGCAACAGCCAGGTTAACTCGTGGCGTTGAAGTCGTGAGAACGGTGTTTTGGCACGCCTCAGAATTTGCACACGGTTGTCTCGCAACGGGGTACTTTCCTCAGTGGAAATGAAATCTCATATGAAGAGGGAGCTCGGAGGGAGAGTGTATCCCTACATCAACATCGTTGGTGAGTCTTGGGTTTACACTAGCCCTCCTCCCCCTCCTCCCCCTGCTGTTCCTCCTCCTCCTCCTCCTCCCCTCCCCTCTCCCCCTCCATCATCCCTCCACCCCGTCCTCCTCTGCGGCAAATCATGGGAGCCTCCCGTACCATCTTGATGGCTCTTACGGATCGATGCTAATCGACTCTAAGTCGACTCTGCTCGACGTTGAATCGACGCTAATCGACGCCAAATCGGCACCATCTCATCTATTACCGGACCAATCGACGCTAGTGCGCTCTGAAGAGACGGAATCACGAACTAATAGAAGGCTCCCACGATTCGCTATCGAACACATCCCTCCCCCTTCATCGTCCCCTTCCCCCACCCCGTCCTCCCACTCCCTCTCCGAGCCCTCTGGGGCAAACGCCAGCAGCTCCTGTTTAGCCCCTCTCGGCTACGTTGCTGGAATCAGCTCGTGCTTGAGAGGCCGCGCGCTCTGTCGGCCCTGGGACTGCCTGGGTGGCGGGGCAGGGCCCCTTGCCCATCGGGGTGGGCCTGCATGCCTCCTTCAGACGGGGCTGGGACGAGGATGAATCTGTTCCAGAGCGTTCCGGAACGCTCTCAGAGAAGGCCGCGGCGCCCGAGATGTCCACCAAACCCGCCGGATCGCAGAGACTCTCGATTCACCCCCACCCGACATGATTCTCGCCTTGGCTCCTGTCTCACTCCTGGCCACCCGCTTGCTCGTGATAGTCCAGCGATGCTCCCTGGCTCTTCCGATGCACTCCGCGGGCCAGGCCGCAGCGGCAGCGGCCGACCCGCCGCTCCCGCGCCCCCGTGCGGCCGAGGCCTTCAGCTCCAGCATCGCCTTTCCCGTGTCCATCTTGCCTCTCGGCTGTCCGGACCTCGCGGGGGGAGCGGGGGGGCGACTCGGACGGAGGGCGGGAGGGGGGGCCCTGACGGACTGACAGGTCAGACGAGCGCGCTCCACTGCTCGCAGAGTGACTGCTCGCGACGAACGGCCCGGAGCCGCCGCGGGAGGGCCACGATCCCTCACGTCTAGGGAGACGTGTTTCGTCGGACGTTTGCGGGTGGGCACCTTGCGAGCAGCGGCACGCCCTCGGTGAGATATGCGCGTGGAGGGCCAGAAAGGGCAGGGGGCGCGGGGGAAGGGAGGCAGGGAGGGGCGGGCGGCCGAGGTGGTGGGGGGGATGCCCGAGGAATCTGGAGCGGCGAATCCGCCGACCCTGCCGGCGTGTGTGCGATGCCATCCCGTTTGAGCCTTTGTCGTCGTCGTCGTCGTCGTCGCCGCTCCCCCTGGAGCGCTCTGGCCAGAGGGAGAACGAGCAAAGATCGAGTCGAAGAGAAGCCCCTTTCCTTCGATCCCTCCCCCGCTGGGGGGGGTCCAAGGAGGGGGGGTGAGCGGGTCCGGGGAGCTGTGACCCCTCCGTTCCCTGGGGGGAAGCACCTCTCCCTGTGAGAAGCGTTCGGCTCCACAGCGCCAGCGTCGTCGTCGTCATCCCTGGCATCGTCGTCGTCGTCGTCGTCGTCGTCCCCCCTCGGGGGTACGTCAACATGTTTGCCTTTTTGGTGGCCTTGGGGTGTTGATTTTCAGCGTAGCATGCCTTTACATAGCTGCGGCGTCGGCGTCGATTGTCAAATTACGCTCTGCGGGACTAGGTACAACCTAGACCTGTAGTCTGCATGTCAATGAAAATGCCCTTCAGGAGCTTTGGGGTGGAGGTCATGCAACCACTGTTTTTTTGCTCTGGGGATTGCTCGGGAGTCGTTTTTTTTCACGGGCGAAGAACCGCTGTTTTTTTGGTCCGAGGGTTGAGTCAAAAAATGATTGGCCTAATGCCGTTGAAATCAATCTGATGTATCGATTTGCTTGTAGATAGGTGAGGGTGGTCCGATTGACTTGAAGCAGGTCGCGACGTCAATAACCCACAACACATGTGAGATAACTCAGGTATTGGGCCCAATGAGAAGGCCATCTGTCTGAGATCTCGAAAAGCCCCCAAAAGATAACAGTCAAGCTCAAGGCCCCCCAAAGTAAGATACTTGCCCCAAATGATATCCCAGAAGCGTGTGCGTGTGTGTGTGTGTGCCGCAGCCCGTTGGGTCCAGCCCGTTCATCTCAGGAAGATGAAGTTCGATGAACGAGCTTGATGATTTGATTCAGGATGAATTGGACTTTTCTCGTGGTGAACTGGAAGATTTGATTCAGGATGAACTGGACGATTTGATGCATGGTGAACTGGACGATTTCATTCAAGATGAACTCGACACGGCGCCAGCGGAGTCGGAGCCGCCCCGAGATGCTCGCAGTCCTCGCCCACTGGATCTCGAGTTGGCAGACCTTGCACATGCCAGGCCGATGGTGTCAGCCGCGCGGGATACGCGTGGCCGACCGCCAAGAAGGCCTCTCCAAGCCACCAGGTCTAGCCTTGCAGCGCAGCAGCCAGTCTCTCAGGACGACCCAGCACAGCTGGTCATGCATTACGCCGACGTCGTACAAGTGCCAGCAGATGTCCCAGATGTGCCATATGATTTGGAAACCATGTTACGAATCCGCTACATCGAGTTTCTCCCCAGCCCCGTTTGCCAACACTTGGAGCAGTTTGTCGGTCTTGCGTTGACACCTGGGGCGCGTCTGGATCCGAAGTCTGCGCACCTTGCGAGAAACCTTCTGAGATATGATATAAGTACCGCCCAGAGGCATTTAGAAGTTCTGGCCCACGACTCGTCCATGCACCCAGTTACGGCATCCAGGCACAGGACTCTTCTTGCGCAGATTTGTTGGGATCTAGATGTTTCGAGTAGGCTTAGCTTCGATCGGGCACTGATTCGTTCACCACAGTTTTCAGCATTACACTTGTGCGAAGTCGACATGCACGACGAGACTCCGATGCCAGTGCGGTGGAGGGACAGGATCGAGGAACTTCAAAATGAGGAAATGTTTCGTAGGGGCCGCGAATGGAGCCGCCGAGCGTGGAATTCGATGTGACAATCCTGGCTGGCAACACTTGCACTTGGACTGCCGCGCCCATTTCACAGCGCTCGGATTTGGCAAGGCGTGTTCGGCGTGTGAATGGCTCGTCACGGGCATGATCAGGACCGCGCTGGCTACGCAGATGGCGGGGTCCATGAGCCATTTCAGAAGATGCTTGAAATTGCAGATTCGTTCGATGGTGCAATTCACTACTGGGGAGCCTCCAACGGAATACGGCTTGCATGTGCGACGCGTTGTAGCTATGTACGGGAGGTCTGGCCACAACCTAGTTCAACGACTTGTGGTGTTGAGAATGTTACCCAACGGCGATTGGACGGACAAAGCTCGCATCGTCATCTACGCGCCTGCGTTGCCGCGGGATGATGCCCAAGCGAAGCTCTGGACTGATCGCATTGTCGCTGGCTTGTGCTTCGCGGTGTGCCCACCCACGTTCAAGAAGTTCTCTCGGAACAGGTGGTTCGGCAAAGAGGTCAGTCTCGACCAAATCGGATTGCTGGAGCATTGCCACGGCCTTTTCTCGAGCACGTTCAGGAGGTGGGCATCGGAAGTGGACGGCGACCAGAAGAGGAAGCGGACCGCAGCTGCTTCTGCAGGTCCGTTCGCTGCCCATGGAGTCCCTGGAGATCACCCAGTTCTTGCCCTTTGCGACGCCCCAGGGGATGCCTTTGCTGATCCTGGCGCAGATGGTGCTGGCGACGGTGGCCCGCCCCTCGGCCACGAGGGTGCGCAGCCACAACGTCCAGACGATGCCGAACGCGTGGTGGTGGAGGTGAACGCCCACGAAGCCCAGGAGCGTGTAAACTCTGAACATCGAAGGCGTGCTATGGTCTTCGCGAATACCGAGTTTCTGCATCACTTGGACGTCATGCGGATCGTCATGGTCCCAATCATGGAGATGTTCAGGGAGTTCGATTTCCTCGGCGGTGATGCTTGGGAGGAACGCCAGAGAGCGGTTGAAGCTGAGGCGCTTCGCCTCGGAGTTGGTGCGGAGGCTGCTCAAGCTCGGAGGACAGATCGTATCGTTGTGTGTGCCAAAGGGGTCTGTGGAACAGACTTTCTTCAATGAGCTGAAGTTCCTGTACAATTCATCGATCATGTGGCGAACCATTGAGGGTAAGCGCTGCACTGAGTTGATCAATGCGTATGTATTCAAGACCATGTCTCGAGCTGGTGCCAAGGCCGAGTGCGAGATTGCTGCTCTGCACAGGCGTTACCCCTATCGAGCGCTCTTGCTCATAAACGATCCAACCATAGCAGACGAGATGATCCACGAGCCCGACTGCATCGCGGACCCTTTCTGGAGAGAGTTTCGGAATGCGAATCCAGATTTGAAGTCTCCGAGTACAAGGGCTCGGCTGGTGCTCTTGGCTTTACTGCACGTCCCACGCATCGTGAGGATCGAGGCGCTCCACGCTTCTATACGGCAGATTCTCAGGTCAAGATCGGTGACTGACATGGCGAGCTTCCTAGATACATCCAGCGATTTCTTGTTGAAACGACTTCGGAGGCGAGAGAGGGCGCTACCGATCCAGCGTGAGATCTACATGCCAAACGTGCCTCTTCACGAAGCCTCTCGAGTTGTTGCAGAGCCTGGTCGTCGTCGTGGAGGTGGCGGGGCATGGAGGGCTTACACTTCTTCCACAGGCCGTGGCCAGGTCAGGGACTTCCATGCGCTTGCCGCCCAGTACAGGGCCATCACCGACGAGGAACGCGAGTACTTCAGGAGGCTCGGCGCAGAGGGCACGCAGAAGCATTCCGAGACTCCCAACGGCCGAAGCTTCGGGCCCACTGTCAGGGATGAGGAGAGGGCGGCAGCTAGATCACAGAAGAATGATATGTGCGAAGCCTTACTGCGTGACATACAACGTGATGAACTTCAGAGGGATGCATCGCTGGCCATTGCGGACCCCGTTGTCGCCAGGAGCCGTTCGTGGCAGGATGGAGAGCACCTGGCGAAGATGGCGAAGAAGACTTTGAGCGAACACACGTCCAAGAAACGAGAGGATGAGCGCATGTCCGTTACCAAGTTCATCGAGACCGAGGGCAAGGACCGCATGGCGTCTGTGACTGCAAGGCTGCAGGGAGCTCCATTTATTGCACGACACCTGGTACCATCTCCGAGCCCAGCCGACAACCAGGAGTTCCTTTACGCACCAGATACGATTAGTCGTGCATCGAACGCCCTCGCTTGCATGTTGCATCGAAGGGATTCCAACGGTCGCTCCACATGTCGACTTATTGATGCTGAGTCTCGCAGGCGGCATTTCATGATTTGCCACAGGGATTACGACAAGTGCCCGAAGGAGACCAAAGATGAGAAGAAGCTCAGGGAGTGTCTTACGGCAGGCCGCTGCATCCACCATGGCCCAGGCGGCAAACGGTTGCGCTCCTTCGGGCTCGGAGTCCACAACATGTTGAAGATGCTGGTGCGCACTTGCAAGCAGAAGGTCTTGGGCGGTGATTTTTTCATGGCGTTCATTGGGACTGACCTCGATGATATACATCCTGATGACCGCCAGCCTCTCGCCGAGGTGCTGGACAGGGTCAAGGTCGTGCACTTGGCCGACCTGTCGCTGAACCCGTTCGTGCCCGCGTACCCGGCCACGACTGCCGCGGCGCTGCCACCGCAGCTCGGCGAGTCCAAGGACGGGCACGCGATGCCCATTTTGATCCAGGCTTTAGGAGTTGATGAGAAGAAGGACGATGGTAATGAAGGTGATGATAAACACGATGAGGAGGGAGCGGAACACGAAGCAGAGGCGAAGGGAGGGAGGCAACAGGAGGGGGAGGGGGAGGAGAGGGGGGAACGAGGAGGGAAGAATGGAGAGAGGATAGAGGAGGGAGGGGAGGAATAATGAAGAGCGATGGGAGGTGGCAGAACGGAGGAGGAGGATGAATAATAATGTTTAGACCCGTCACTTCTTTGATACAGCCGACGATTGAAATATCGAAGACGCCTTCGGCGACCTCCTCCGCAAACCCTGCCTTTTGGAAATGCCAATGTGGATATCTTTTGGCCGTCAACTGGCCATTTGAGGCCGGATTCTCAACCGTCGCTGGGGCGCCCCGGGTCAATGTTGGAAGCAGTCGTTGGACGCCCTGGTCCGTTTAAACGTTGTTGGGCTCCTTGCTGCCATCTTGGGGCATTCTCAAGTCCTCTTGGGCCAACGGCGGGGCCAGTGTGGGATCCTGCACGGGCTCTTGGGGCCGTCTCGACCTCGCGGCGTCTTGGGGGGCCCTGATGTACTTCGGCGGGGGCGCGCCCACGCGGCTGCTTCTGAAAGAATGCGTGCGGATTCTGCGAAAGCGCGCGCCATCGACGAGCGCGCTTTGGCAGAAGGCCGCGGGGGGGCACCAACGTAGTGCACTAGTCACTAGACGTGCGGGTCTAAGACTCTAAGAGCCAGGAGAGCGAATGATATATCAAGCTGGGCCTTTCCGCCGTCGCTGCACCCCGCTAAAGCGATTGATAAGGAGGTTGGGGGGGTGGGCATGGCACAGCGCCTCGCAGCAACAACGAACAGCCCCGCGCAAAATTCACCAACCATTAGCTTCAAACAAACATGTGATAACGCCTGCCTTTGCGCCACTGTTTGGCAACATATAGAATATGCTATATGATCTATCTAAGGGCTGGCGTTGCAACGTCTGCAGCCAGCGCGCAAGCACCACTTTACGAACACACAATCTTTTATCATCGCGCAGAGAACAACTGGTGCGAGGCCCACGGGGCGTGCCAGTGCCGCGCCCAAACAAGAACAAGCCCTTCAGTTCGAAAAGCATCGCGCCTCAGGCGCAATTGGCCTACCGCGAACGCCTGCGCGCGAGCGCAATGTTTCCGCTGGAACACAGCACCAACGGGGTGCCGAGACTAAGCGGCGCCATGTGTGCCGCCGCGCAGCGCGACGACGCTGGGGACTTTGCATTTCTGCATGTGCACTCATGTTGAAGGTGCCATTGGCAGCGTGGACGCCCGCGTCGCTGCGGCCGCGTCCGCTTCGGTGTCGTCGGCACAAGTGCTGCGCGCGACGTTGATACATGGGCCGCGCCGCTCCTTTGCCCTATGGCAGCCCTACCACTATTCCTGCCGACCCCGCAAAAATACCATGGTGAAACTGACGCCCGCGTGCGACCGACTGGCGCGGCTCCACCACGCGGCGCTGCACCTCCTTCGGCGACGCCCCGCCTACCGTAGATCCACCCGCGCGCGTTCCCGCGCGCAAAGGGCAGCTCGAACTGTCGTTTCCGCTCAGGGAACGCGCTCGCGCGTGGCCAGGGCGCGAAACACGTCACTGTTGGCGTTGCCAAATCTAGCATCGGCGCGCCCGCTCCGAGGAATCTGTCCGCGCTCCCACCCGCCTGGCCACGTTCGAGGAGTTTTGCCCGAGTGCGTTGATCCTACCAGGCCAAGTTGGAAGGGTTTACCAGGGTTCGGCTCCATCGCCGCCCCGAGGAGCGGGCCCGCGCTGTTCCCACCAGGCCACGTT